CGACTCGACGGCACATAACAACAACAACAACAACATTGTAGGCGCTCTGGTAGCCTAAGGCACTTAACTGCTAACCAGAAGGCTGGCGGTTCAAACCCACCAGCCACTCCTCGGAAGAAAGATGGGGCAATCTACTTCCGTAGAGATACTGCCTCGGAAACCCAAGGAGGGGTCACTATGAGTCGGGCCGACTCTACGGCACATAACAACAACAACAACATTCACTATTGTAGGAGATTTGGTGGCATAGTGCCTAAGGCATTTGACTCCTAACCAGAAGTCTGGCAGTTCAAACACACTAGCCACTCCTCCAAAGGAAGATTGGGCAATGTACTTCCGTAGAGATACCACCTCAGAAATCCAAGGAGGGGTTGCTATTCATTATTGTACCTCTTTAGTATTTAGAAGATGGTCTTTAAAATTATCTTTAATTTTAAAATTTTTCTATGTCTTTTAAAAATAGTTATAATATGGAAAATTTTAAACACATACGAACAAGGAACTTTTGTTCATCAATCGCCCACATGCTCATCATCTGACTTCAACTCATGGCCAATATTATTTTATCTTAACTCTCAGATACAGTCTAATGTTCTACCCTCACTTCACTCCCAGATTATTCTGAAGCAAATACCAGGCGTCATACCATTTTTTTATATGGCTTAATGTCATTGAGTTAGTTCTTAATAAAAAAGTGGTTTATAGAAGAATGTTTTTCTCTTAGCCAAGTTGAAACTTCTTCCTATAATTGATGTTTAAAATATTAGCTTTGGAAGTTCATTACTTTAGATACTAGCAAAAATTTAAAGAGTCTGAAATCTCTGTTATGGAAAATGTAAGTAATTGAAAAGCTGTCAGTAGTGAGAACCAAACCAAAACCAAACCCACTGCCATTGAGTCAATTCCAATGCATAGCGACCCTTTTTAGGACGAGGTAGAGCTGCCCCATGGGGTTTACAAGGCTGCAAATCTTTACGGAAATAAACTATCTTACCTTTCCCCTGTGGAGTGGCGGGTAGGTTTGAACCACCAACCTTGTGGTTAGCAGCCAAATGCTTTAATCATTATGCCACCAGAGCTTCTTATAATGGGAGCAGTACCATTTATTGAGCTTGTTTATTTGACAGCCACTGTGCTTAACGTGTTTGTTCTGCTTATATCAATAGCTCTGCAAAGCAGATAGTATTATTCTGATGCACAGAAGGGGAAACTGAGGCTCAGAGATGTTAAAGAACTTGTTCAGTGTCAAACAATAACAAAGATAAAATGCAAACTCAGATGTTATTCATTGTTTAGTCTTTTAAATTGTGAAATATCTCAATTAAGGCTATTTAGAGTGATATACCTGTAAACCAAAACCATTGCTGTTGAGTTAATTGTTACTCATAGCAACCCTATAGGATAGGGTAGAACTGTCCCATGGGTTTATAATGTGGAAAATCTTTATGGAAGCAGACTACCCCTCTTTTTGCCCATGGAGTGGCTGGTGGGTTCAGATCTTTTGGTTAGCAGCTCAGCGCTTAACCATCGCACCACCAGGACTCCTTAGGGTTAGGTAGTAGGCTGCTGACAGGTGGTTGTTGTTGTTGTTGTTGTTGTTGTTGTTATGTGCCATCAAGTCGGACCCGACTCATAGTGACCCCTCATTGGGTTTCTGAGGCAGTATCACTACGGAAGTAGATTGCCCAACCGTCTTCTGAGGAGTGGCTAGTGGGTTTGAACCACCAGCTTCCTGGTTAGCAGTCAGGTGCCTTAGACATTATGCTACCAGAGCTCCCGCTGACAGGTTAGTCTGTCTTTACAGCCTTGGAAACCCTGTGGGGCAGTTCTGTGTCCTATAGGGTTGCTGTGAGTTGAAATAGATTTGATGGCAACAGGTTGGAGGGATCTTATCTACTATCAGTAAGGAGTAGCTCATAGATTTGAGATTGGAAGGGTGAGGCCAGTTTTGTCATATATAGTCACACATTTTAGGAGCATCACCTACCCCCATCCCTCCTTACTACTACAGGGAAAATTCTACTCCTTTTTCCAGTTTTATCTTTCCCAATTTCTCCAGATTATATTTTCTCTTCTCATTGTTTCAAACTCTCAGAGTGTTTCATTCAGCTAAAAAGTATTTGACTAACAGTAATAGGAGAAATCTTATCTTTCACCTTTGGATCCCTTCCCTTGAGTCCTCTCCCTGGTGACTTAGCATTACTTCTGGCACATGGTAGGTGGTTAATAAATGTTTACTGAATGTCTGATTTTCCACACTTGTCTTGTTACAAAACTATATAAATTTTATTGACCCCCCTGTTCTTAATTTGCCAAATGAAATGATTTACAAAACATTGCTGGTCTGTTTTTCTTCTAATCAAACATGTTTCCTTCAGCATAGCAATTATTTCTTTGATTTAGAAATGGAACAAAATGCAAAGAAACTTCCAAAAATGCTTAAAGAACCATTTGATAAAGTTACAGTATAAGAAGAATACAGTACCTACTATTTTTGATCATATGTTAATCTACTTAGTAGATACAAAGTTTACTTTGTTTGTAAGACACAGCACCAAACTGATAAAAACCCTGCTCTTAACCCTGACCGTTTTCCATGCTCCTGCTACGCATTGTAATTTGATGTTGGGGAGTATAGCCCTTGTGAGGTCAGTCTGTTTAAAACGGGGCAGTTCTGTTTCCTCAGAACAGACTCCCCTTTGGGTTTGGGAGGCAACCTGGTACAGTACGAGGAGCATGGGCTTTGGTGTTTGGCCTGAAATTGAATCCTGGCTCTGCCACTTAGCAGTTATGTGACTCTGGACAGGTTTCTTAGCATCTTTGCTTCTTGTACCTCATCTTTAAATAGGAAAAATGACCTTGCCCCTCGTGATTGTTCTAAGGATTAAATAATATGTAAAACTCCCAGCACCAGCAAGTACTCAACAAATGGAAGCAGCTGCTGTGATCTGTCAAAATGCCTTCCTCGTTCTTGTCTTGGGGCTTTCATTTTGGAATGTCGATGGTTTCTTTCTTCTTCACTTAGCTTTTTCTTTTCCTTTCTTAAGGCTGAACTCTGGCTTTATGCCTTCCATAAGCTTCCTCTGTCAACCTAGTTCACAGTGATAACTCTCTCTTCTCTCAGACACTTTGACTCTACACTTTGCATTCAGCATTCACACTGCCATTTTCATGTTAACTATCCTGTCTTCTCAATTGACTGTCCTACTCTCAAGGGCAGGGCCTCTCGTTATGTTCACTAGAATAAGTTTCTCATGAAGAAAAAAACACCATAAAGTTCAGTAAATGTTACTTGTCAGTACAAGTGAATTCTTTAAGGTAGACATATGCCATTTAGGAAATTACCTGTCCAAAGTCTCTTGGAAAACTTTCAGAGTATCTGAGCATTATTACAGTTACCAAAAATTAATCTCAGTTCCTGGAAAAGACGAGGTGTTGGTAAGATAATCTCCTTCTTGTTTGAGTAATTTTCTTAGGTTATTTGGAGAAACTGTTAAAGTGAGTATTAGATTGACAAATATATCATATTTGGTATTTACAAAACATGAGAAAGGGCTGTTCAAGTGAAGCATATGTGGCACTGTATTTTAATTTCTCTTTTTCAGGATCATAAAGATGAAGTAACGTGTGTAACATATAATTGGAATGATTGCTGTGTTGCTTCTGGATCTCTGAGTGGTGAAATTATTTTGCACAGTGTAACCACTAATTTATCGAGTACTCCATTTGGCCATGGAAATAACCAGGTACAGTGTGGGTTTCTTCACCATAAAGTTGATAAGTTACATTTCGAATTTTCTTACATAAGACAACAAACTTATTTTTTTAAATTAGAGTGTTTTAAATTTGCATTTAGCTTACTTGAGAAGCTTAGAGCTTGATATTTTTTAATGGTAGTGTTTTAAAATTTCTAATGACAAGCTAATTTATACTAGATTATGGTACTAATAAGAGATAGTTACGCCATTGAATAGTAATATCCTTTTTAGAACATATGTAACAAAAATGCATCCTTGTTAACAGTTTAAACCTGTGTACTAATCTTTCTGTGTCATGCTATTATAGCAGTGTTACACAGCTCAAACTATGTCAGGTACAATAGAGGTTCTTATGTTTAGAAATACTCTAATGGACAGGAGATAATTGAGTGTGTTTGAGCATGGTAATTTTGTTTTTTAAGTATATGATAATGTAGCAAACCTTATTTGTATTTTCAGATTAATATAGGACTATTCAGGAAATTTTTTATAAAAGAAAATTAGTCAATTTTTTTTTTCTTCATGAGAAACTTATTCTAGTGAACACTCTTAAAATAATAAACTCATTTAGATTGCATATGTAAGTGAATTTCCACATTATTTGAATATAAGTTTTCAACCAAACAAAACCAAACTCATGCCGTTGAGTCGCATCCGACTCATAGTGACCCCTCCTTGGGTTTCTGAGGCCGTATCACTACAGAAGCAGTGATTTTCCTTCCGAGGGGTGGCTGGTGCATTTGAACTGCCAGCCTTCTGGTTAGGAGTCAAATGCCCAGTCCTTGTAAAAACTAAAGCAGTTGGGAAGAACATTTTCCGTTAGTAACTTAGAAGATTATGCAGTAGCAGTTGGGCCAAATGAAGAATAGTAAGTATCTGGCATGTATGTTGGCATTCTCTGAGTCCCAGGCCCTTGGTTATTGTCTCTAATAAATCTTACCATGATTACTTTTTCCTGTCTGCATGAGATTTTTTATGAAAATACTGAATTTGCATAAAAGTTCTTGAAGTGTAAATTATGTAAGGTAAAGTTGTGACCAATGAAGTGACTTTTCTCCATCCTGGGCTACTTATCTATTGATAAAGTTTTACATACATCATTTAGAGTGTAAGCCTCTTTGAGAAGAATTTTTAGAAACAGAAAAGCTGGGGATTGGTTATATTATACATACTTGTAACAATTGTATTAATTACATCTGGTGTTCTTCCTGTCATTATGAATGTTTTATTGTAAGAGATTGAATTCCATTTGAAAATATTACATGCAGTGCGTATAGAGAATGAAATTATTATTATTTTTAAAAGAATCAGTTTCTCAAGAAATCTCATTCTTGGCTTATTTTCCATGAGATTCTCCACAGAAAATTTCCAATAAATTATAGTTCCTTTAAATCCTTATATGTTACTGTAATCACTCTAAGCCCAGTGTATAAACACTCTGACCATCACTGGAGAAAATATGGAAGATTTTTATTTTGGGAAAGAGTTTTTAAAATCATTTCAACAATATTTAATGCTTAAGGAAAATTTAATGACTACTTGATGTAAAAAGTAAAAAATTTCAAGTTTCATATGAATTAGAATAAAAGAGATAGATATATTCTATAAGTGATATTATGGAAGATAATATAAATATATAACATTTATTTATAATAACTTATATGAAGCAGTCTATGGTGAGTCAGAACAGAATGGAGAAGAGGATCTGATGGGGTTAATATAGAGAAGATTGGATCTGATGGGGTAAATATAGGGAAGATTGGATCTGATGTTGTTGTTGTTAAGTGCCGTCGAGTCGTTTCCGACTCATAGCGACCCCATGCACACCAGAACGAAACACTGCCCAATCCCGC